AACACAAGATATTAGAGTTTCTCACTGTCTCTCTCTCTCTCTCTCTCTCTCTCTCTCTCACACACACACACACACAGAATAAGTAAATGTAAAAAGATGAACTATTCCTGAAAAAGGAAATGATAGCAATAACCCCACACAAGGATTTTTATGTGCATTATTTAGAGGTATTTCCATCAACACAGGGTTTGTATGGGGCTAAGAATGTGGCTTTGTTGGTAGAGTGCTTGCCTAGCTTTCACAAAGCTCTGGGTTCAGTTCTCAGTACCGCATATAATGCCAACAATTGGGAGGTAGAGGCAGAAGGATCAGGAGCTCAAGTTCCTTGGCTATCTGGCAAGTTGGAGACTAGTGTGAACTACATGAAACCCTGTCTCAAATAAATACATAAATAAATAAATAAATAAATAGCTTTTTAATATCTTTTCAAGTATGTTTCAGGTAGTCTTTCGGGTATTCAAATGTAAGACTTAACTTCCTCTCAAATGGACAAGTGGGTTTCTGGGAGTTCAAGGTCAGCCTGATCTACATACTGGCTACATACAGGCTAGTCAGGGCTACATAGTGAGATTCTGTGGAAGGGTCAGGGGAATCATCTACTCCTAATTTTATATAGTTAGCTATATAAAATTATATAGTATATTAGTTTACTTTTCAAAGCAAAAGGGGAAGCAGCTCCATAATCTGTCCCCAGATCTTCACATTGATATTATGTACTCACATAGCCGGCAGTGGTGGCTCTTGCCTTTAATCCCAGCACTCTGAGAGGCAGAGGCTCTCCTGGCCATGGCTTCCCAAAATTGTTACCATACATGTTAGGGTTAGAGCTTGGGCCCTGGCATCCCTAACAAGTTCAGCTTGGCCATCCATCATCAAGTGTGTCATTTAAATGCAACATTAATAATGAAAAGCAGGGGCTGGAGAGATGGCTCAGTGTGTGGCTGCTCTTTCAAAGGTCCTAAGTTCACTTCCCAGCAACCACATGGTGACTCATAACCATCTATAGTGAGATCTGGTGCCCTCCTCTGGTGGGAAGGCATATATACAGGCAGAACACTATATAATAAATATTTAAAATAATAATAATAATGAAAAGCAGAAAAGGATTTATTTGGTATGGCCACATAGAAAACAGATCCAGTCTGTTTTAGGTTTCTGACATACATGAGTTTTAGGTTGATAGAAAGTATGTATGCCTAACTAACCTCTCCTGGTCAAGGTGTGGTCCCAACTGCTCTCATTGGCTCCTGTTTCCTGCAAGGTGGCCTGACAGGCTGTCAGAACTGTGTGATCTCTTTCTGCAGACAACTCTCTCTGCCTGGCACCCGAGCTCAGCCTTTCCTTCTTCCAATGTGAGATTCCTGGAAAAGTTCCAATTTCTTGAGTCCATTGTCCCAGTAGTCTGATAGCAGAGGAGAGGGGCACACATGTTTTTAGAATTTCTTTGAGGATAGTTACACAGGAATTACAAGCATGAGATGGCAGGTCTGGCCACACCTAGCGTTTTAATAACTTTTTCAGATGATGGTAGGTATTCTTTGATGCTGCACCAAGGCTTGGCAAGTGGTAATTTTTTTGTGGTCCATACAGCCTTGTGCCTGCTAGACCAGCATGCTGCCATTGTATCACGAAGCTCGCTAGACATGTGGTAATTTCTTAAACGTTAGTTGCAAGATTGATAATTTAGCTCAGTAACACCTTGGGTTTTGTCCTCTGCACCAGAAAAAAAAAAAAATAGTTGCATGGGCTGGAGAGATGGGTCAGCAGTTAAAAGTCCTGGGCGCTCTTCCCGACGGCCCACGTGATCCTCCCAACCACTTGTAAGTTCAGTTCTAGGGGATCCAATGCCCTTTTCTGACCTGCAGAGGTCAGAGGCGAGCAGGTAATTGCACAGAATACATTCAGGCAAAAATAGGCAAATACACAAATAGTTTTAAAAATAATAAAATTAGTTGAAAAGAAAAATTTGAAACCATATCAAAAGAATTTTTGTACTTATATACCATAAAAAAACAAAATTTTTTGTTGTATACTTTTATTTTAGGCTGTACTGGGACTTGAACCTACAGCCTTGCACATAGTAAAGAAATGTCTACCACTGAACTGGCTCTTACTATTCTTTCATTTGAGACAAGTCTCACTAAATTACCCAAACTGTACTTAAATTCATATTATAGCTGGAACAGGCCTTGAACTATTGCTCCTCCATGCTCAGATCAAACCCGGACTTTGTGTGTACTAAGCAGCCCTCTGTAGGTGGAGCTCTAACGCCAGCCCTTGATTCGTATTTTGTTTTTTGTTGTTGTTGTTGTTGTTGTTTGCTTTTGGTTTTGGACACAGGCTTTCTCTGCCTTGGCTGTCCTGGACTCACTTTGTAGACCAGGCTGGCCTCAAACTCAGAGATCCGCACCTGCCTCTGCCTCCCCGAGTGCTGGGATCACAGGGGTTTCTTGGTACAGCTCAGGTTAGTCTCCAACTTGGAATGTTTCTATTCAGCCTCCTAGAAACTGGGATTACTGAGACTACAGGCCTTTTCCAGAAGGCCCTACTTTGAATTTTGCTTTGTTTTGTTTTGTGTTTTGAGACAGAGTTTCTCTGTGTAGTACCGGCTGTCCTGAAACTTGCTCTGTAGACCAGGCTGCCCTCAAACTGCCTGCCTCTGGTTCCCAAGTGCTAGGATTAAAGGTATGTGCCACCACCTGGCCCAGCTTTGAAGTTTTTGTTAACTTATTGGAGGGGGTGTTTCATGAGGACACTGAGGACTCCGTGGTGTGTGTGTGGAGGTCAGAGGACAACTTTCTGGAGTTAACTTCTCTCCTTTTACCATGTGGGTCCTAGTATCAAACTCAGGTTGTCAGACTGGTGAGGTGGCTCCTGGGTAACTTTTGCCAAACCTGATGATCTGAGCTCAATCCCTAGAGCCACATGATAGAAGAGAGAACCCAGTTTCTGAAGCTATTCTCACACACACACACACACACACACACACACACACACACACACACACAC